CGTGCGTTGGTGAAGGGTGGCCCTGCCGATGGCAGGCGGGCTGGAACGAGATGGTCTGTAAGGTCCCTTCCAACACAAACCCTGCTATGATTCTGTGATTATGCAAAAGTTACCCAGTTGCAAGTGAGAAAGTCATAAATGGTTCTGAATAAAGTGTCCTATCTGTTTTGGTTTGTTTTGATATTTCCTGGTTACTCAGCATGAATACAGGGAGCTATTGTCTACACCTTCTGGCCAGAAAGTAACTGTGTGACAGCATGGGAAACTGTGGGAAGAATTATGTGCGAAGGAGAGTGTATGAAGTCTGTTAAATGAGTCCAGAATAATATTATAGAAAACAGTGGGTGAAGAAGGAGATGGCATTCAGTTCTGTATTTATTGCAGATTGATGGAGAAAACACTGGGGACTTTTTTGACATGTATGCAGCTGCATTTATACCTGATACAGAAACAAACCGAACGGTGTATATATCTGTCTGTGATGATGATCTTCCAGAGGCTGATGAGACATTCACATTTTACTTGACACTACCAGTAAGTCTCAGTTGTTCGATTGATCTGTTCCCTGGAAAACAGTGGGTAATCTGACACAATGTGTGGTATTCTGTAGATTCCAGTGTAGCTGTACTCCTGTGAGTCTGAATTGTAATAGATATGACCAAAAATCCAGACGCTTGCCAGTATGGTGCTTACAGAAAGTTTTGCCATTCCCGTGGTGACACGGCCGTGCAGTGTAGAGAGAGTCTAAAAGTTCAGCGGGCACTGCATTCGGCTGTGGACACGTGAAGGTGTGCCAGCACCTCGAGGGGTCACGTTGTGAACTCTCAGCCTTTCCTGTTTCCCTGCATGGACCGTACCTGGAAGAAAGGGTGGAAGTAGCAAAAGAAAGACAATGACTTCCAATCCTCCAGAAGAAGAGGGTAAACAGGACTTACCTAAAAACAAACAATTTTTGAAATAATTACCAATAAGTCTCTTGTTCTGTCTCACTGAAGTCATGCTACAAGAGAGGTTCATGTTCACTTTTTTTTTAGGCACATAGTTCATGACTAAATTTGATGTCAGTTCAGTAAAGATAAATTTTATATTCTATTGCCAGTGATTGCACATCTCGAGATGTTTGCAGTGAACATAAAAATATATATTTTCCCTCCCTTCTGCCTTTGATTTGTAAATGTAGCTCATTTTTACGACACTGTAAAGATTTGTTTCCTTTAGCTGGTAACTCAGTATAATAGCTTCAAAGTTTTAGTTTTATACAAGTGTTAGGCAAAAAAGAACAACTTGGGAGTTCCTGGCAATGCTGAACACATCATGCCCAGTTCCCTATTGCTGTGGTGTCATTAATAGGTTACCAGCTATGATTAATAATTTATAAAGTTTGTTTCAAGCACTTTTGTTGTTCACTGTGTAGAGTGTATTTCCTCAATAATCAATAATTATTTTGGTGCATTCTATTGCTTTAAATAATTTTCACTGTAATAATTTTTGTAATGAAAGACATACAATTTGTCATAGGCTAATAGTTGCTCTTAAAAAAACATAAAATCAAAATGTGTGTTTTTTTGTCTATCACCATATTTAATATCTTATTTTATGTGTTAATTTTAGAAACCATCTTCAAGGATAAAGCTTGGCTCACCCAAATCTGTCACTGTAACGATCTTATCGAATGACAATGCCTTTGGAATAATTTCTTTTAACATGGTATGGCTTTTATATGGTAAATGTGAAAATATTAGAAAACATAAAGGTGAAATTTTCAAAGATGCTTGTTAGTTATTCAGCTGAATCCCTTGAAAATTGGTTCTGAGTTACATCTTTGAAAGCATCTCTAGAGGAAATTCGTACATATATAGAACTTTAATACTTCGGTATGCTTTTAGGTCTTGAGACGTAGCCTGAGACCTTCACATTTGGATCAATATCTATGTTGCTCATCTTAAATAAAAACTTACAAGAAGTAGTTTGGTCTCACTGCCCAAGTATAATTTTTTTTTTTAAAGTTTTTCAGTCCCACTGCTGCTCATCTAGAAGTCAGAGTCTGAATATGTTAGGGAAGAAACAAGGAGTAATACCATACGGAAGTTAAAGATGTGATTTGGAAATCTTGAAAATATATACAGTTTTGTATTTTAGTGAGCAATTCTATACTTAACCCTCAAGCTGAGAGAACAGTGTCATGATATATACATGGGAGAACACCTTCTGTGTTCTAGTGCTGTGGAGGTTATTTACACTAATTCAGAGTTAGTGTTAGTAGAAACTATGCCTTATTGCCACCATTTTTGTAATGTAATTTTTGTAGAGGACTTCTGTGACAAAGCACAAGAACATGAGACATTTTTAGCACCACAGTACTAAGCCATGCTGCTCCTGAATTGGTGTAATTCTTTGAAATCTTTCACCTACCACAGTTTGATAGACAGAGTCCATTTATACCTAGTTAGCTAATAAATGACTTTTTAATGGAGAAAATCCATTTTTAATGGGGTTAGCAGCTCCTGTAAATGCCAGTGCTAATATGCCAGTGCTTTGTGTATATTGACTATGTTAATTTACAGAAAAAAATCCACTCTACTTACATAACTTATGATAATTTTTTAATTTGAAATCTTCCAAGCTTTTCATTAGCTGAACTAATTGGTTGCTAGGAAATGTATGCCATCAGTGGACTGGTTTGCAGATTGGATTAACTTGTCTGTGGGAGTTTGGTATTTCTATGGTAACAGTTTCTTCCTTCTGCTGTGATATTTGATCTGTGCCTGATTGCCTCTCCCTTTTCTTCCTCATTAGTCTGCCTTAATCACAGTGAATGAGCCCAGAGGCAGAAACGAATTTGTGCCTCTCACTCTAATCAGGGAGAGGGGAACGTACGGGACAGTCATCGTAACTTTTGAGGTGAGTTTATCAAAAAGGCTTCTTACCTTAGTCTGTTGCATGAAACTGTGAGGCCATAATCATAACATATCAAGGTCCTTATAAAAGTGAAAGAGGGGAAAAATACCTATGTCTACATTTGTTACATTTGTTTCATAAAATGGAAAGGTTTTACCTGTGAAGTGGAAAATACTTATAGTTATCTGACTGTTTAATTTGAGGAAAAATAAAGAAGATATTAGACAAAACTGAGTGTTCTTGGTCATTTAGGAAGAGATTTGAGGCAGCATTAGTTGAGGTTACTAACAATGTGTAGTAAGTGTGTAAAAAATGTCCGATTTAATGTTTCTTCAAATTTTGTCGATAATGTTTGTGGAAGCTTTGAACAGGTAAGTATGGGAGCTCAGTATTTAGTGAAATTCTGTATCTGTGAGACTTCAATATGAATCTTCAAAATAATAACTCATATTGAATATTTAGGCTTTCATTTACGTACTTGTTTTGAGTGTCATGCAGTTATTATGCTTATTGGGTTTTTTTCCCTTATCTAGCTCTGATTCTATTAAATATTTTAAAATTATGTATAAATTCTTTCATATGAATGTTTCTTTATCAGTTGTCTGATCTTATATGTCATAAGGGCTTAGTCTAGACCTGTCAAAATCTGAAAAGACTTGTACTGGGTGTTATTACATGCTAAATATAGCATGTATAGTTGAAGTACAGAATGAGATTCTCTGTGTAATTTATTGCAGATCTATTTGTTTTAAAGTCCAATTAGTTTTACTATCTGCACAATTAATCAGGTCCATTTCACAGTGTAGTTTATATAAATACATTGAAAAAATTTACAAGATTTTCTAAAAAAAAAAAATCACCATATTGCCTTAAGTGGCTTCATAGTCTTTTAGGTTTCACTATTAGATGTAATGTCCCTAATATCAGAAGTTCAAGACTGAAAGGACACAAAACAAGCTATTATTTTGTCTTGGAACTTTTTATGAAATACAAGTGATTTACATTAAATCACAATTAATGTCCTTTCTGTGAAAGAGTCAATTATGCATCAGTGCATACCAAAGAGTTCTCACAGGCCTGTATGGAAGTAGTTTACCTCTTCTTTTTCTGGCAAGACATAATTTCTTCAGAGTGGTTACTCTGACTTACTCCATCTGCCAAAAAAGAGCAGATTTTCACAACTGAATGTGTGTGCCTGTGAGCAGGAGGTGACTGGATAGACAGTCGTTTGTTATGCACGTCACGCACTGTATATTGATTATTGTACTTGCACTAGAGTTGTATTCCTGTTTTACATGTTTCTTTACATAAAAATAAATTCTTTGCAGATAGAAGATGGACCAAACGCAGCTGAAGAAGACTTAAGCCCAGCTAGGGGAAATATTACATTTAGCCCTGGGAGATCAATGCTGATTTATAATTTAACAGTGCTTGATGATCAGGTAAGAACAAGCTGACTTCATTTTTGGTTTGGCTGTGTGCAAGGTGAACTGCTGTTCTGGAGACACTTACAGTAATAGTTTACAAAAATGCTTGGTTTAAATGAGGTTAAAAGTGCGTCTGCTTAATAAAGCAATATTAAATTTTGGCTCTATGGGCACTCGTTTTTACTCCTTCTAAGACTACTGCTGTAATTCTCATTAGTGAACATTAATAGTTTCTGAACGTATCTGGGCCACTCTCACTAGACCTGTTAGGTGCTACTGCAGTAAATGTATAAATAATCAGGAAAGCGTTATACATTTTTTTCGTGATGGAATGCTCAGGTCCTTGTTGTATGGCCAAGGATGATGTTCTTGAACTGGATATAGGTTTATCTATTAGACTGTCCTTTCTACATTGGACTTTTCTGTATTTCTTTTTAAACGTTCTCTGCTTGTCCCTAATTGTCTGCCTTGCAAATTCAGGCTATATTTGTGTAATGAACTCAGGCTCTCCTTTTTGTTTTTATTAATTGTTTTGGCAAAAGGAACCTAATCATAACATTGCTTACATGATGTATTTTTTATTACATCCTCAGTGATGCCTGTTCGGCTCCTCTGCCTTCAGTTAAAAGCGCATAATCCAATTTATTCTTTCTTAACTTGATTGGCTCTTTTTCATGTGAATAGCAGACATGTTATGTTTGCCATGAAAGAAAGAATATAACACATTAAATATTCACAGAGAAAAGATAGATTGAAAAAATGTAGCAGTTTTTATATATTTATGAAATATATTTTTAAAAATACTTCTAAAAGTAGATAAGATTCCTAAAAGAAACACACAATCTTGTGAAGAGCATGAACAGTAGGTGATAATTAAAAAGCTTCCATTTTCAGATTGGTCTTTAAAAAAAAAAATGTTCATAGATCGTGAGCCTTTCTATTTCAGAGTAAACAAAACATTTTATTCTCCTTCTCAATTTGTGATTTTCATTTTTCTTACCCATGCTTTTCTTTTGTTGTTTTTTTTTCTTTATCATGGGGATAAGAGGGAAAATAGAGGCATCAATATAGATAAAAATGATACAGAACAACTTAGTAAGGAAATTCACAAGAAAAAAGTAATAACATGAAAGTGCCTATCTCAGAAGTGAGCAAACTTTAAAGTAATTGTTTGCATATTTCTCTTAGTTATAAAAAGTGTTTTTCCACATCTGTACTGATATTTTTAATGTTAAAATGAGACTGTGCCAGACTGGTGTGTAGAAACTTGTCTTTCAGATTAGATGTAATATTTCTGTGACTTTTACAGAGAACGACATCGCTGAGCTTTTTAGGAGGATGTGATTTTTTTTTTTTTCCCTCTGAGAAATGCTCTCAAAGTTCGGTTTTTCAAAGTTTGGTCTGTACAGGTGTGACTGGTCCACTCGGTGAAAGTCTTTCACAGGCATACGTGACAGATTAATTTTGTGTAAATACCCTTTATTGGTGATGACGATGAATTCGTAAGAATCCAATGTTACTTTCAGAACTTAGTTTGAGCTTTTAGGATCTCAAGTTAGGAAAAAAAAATGAAAAAAAAGTGTTTTTCTGAATTGGGTAGCCCTTTTCTTACAGAATTTGGCGGACTGCAGATCAGTCTCCACAGCAATACATTTATAGTAATTTTATTGTATATGTTTTCTTTTTTAGTGAGGAATAATGGAAAATTTGTTAAAAGAAAATGAAAGAGGCAGGGCAACACTGGAAATCCTTTATATTGTTGTCTTTGAAGTCTGACTTTTTTAAATTGATCAATCATGATGCCACTAAGAACTCCAGAATGTCCAATTTATATGATACTAAGGTGTAAACTACAACTGCAATTGTGCATACTTTTTGACTGTCTCTTAAATGTATATTTTTATGGTGCAAGATGGTATAGTAATTAGTGAACTAAACAAAATGTAGGTTAGCATCTGTTCTAATAAGGTAAAATAACTGTGTTGTAACTCAGTATAGTATAGAGGTGACTGGGACCTTCCAAATCTCACGCTGACGAATAAACCTGCATCACTCAACAACATTATGCAAGTTTAAGTGCCGCAAGCCAAAGAAGCCATGGAATTGGCGTTAACTACAAAGGCAATTGCATGCCCACTCTCTTCGCCCTTGAAAAGGAGCTGAGGGTGGCCAATTAACAAATGAGTGTGAAAAGAGAAGAAATATTGGACAGCAGGGTTTTCAGAACTTTCTTAGCTCAGTAAACAAAGGTGCATGAAAAGGATTTGTCAATTTTATAAGACAGTATTACCATTAGCAAAAAGTAAGTTTTTGGTCCTGGAATTCTTCTCAGAAGCAAATAGTACTAATTCCCAGGAGTCCACAGCAAGGATGAGATCCAAGAATCTAAACAATTTTGAAATCACAGAATCACAGAATCACAGAATAGTAGGGGTTGGAAGGGACCTCTGTGGGTCATCTAGTCCAACCCCCCTGCCGAAGCAGGGTCACCGCTTCAGTTTGTGCCCATTGCCCCTTGTCCTGTCGCTGGGCACCACTGAAAAGAGCTTGGCCTCATCCTCCTGACACCCACCCTTCAGATATTTGTAGGCATTTATAAGGTCCCCTCGCAGCCTTCTCTTCTTCAGGCTGAACAAGCCCAGTTCCCTCAACCTCTCCTCGTAGTGGAGATGCTCCAGTCCCCTCACCATCCTTGTAGCCCTCCGCTGGACTCTCTCCAGTAGCTCTTCATCCTTCTTGAACTGGGGAGCCCAGAACTGGACACAGTACTCCAGATGAGGCCTCACCAGGGCAGTGTAGAGGGGAAGGAGAATATTTACTTTTTACCTATATGTATTAATAAAATAATAATATTTTTCAGTTAAATAGGTTTAGCAAATCAAGATTTGCGGAATCAAAAATTTAATATAAAGCAAAAATCTCATCCTTAAGTTCTGTAATTTGCAGTTTATAAGCCATTCTTTATTGTCTGCTGCATCAGTTAATGGAGAAGAACTAGCTAAAACTAAAATGTAGTTGTAAACAGCCATTTTGTAGAAATACCAAAGCCTAAATAATTGCTAAGCACCAGAAAACAGTTTCTCAGATCTGTGGTGGAAGTTTTCTCTGGGGTGTCGGTGTGTCTGAACGTAGGAAGCGTTCCTTTTCCAGTTGTATGGGAATGGATGGGCCGAGGCAGTTTGCGTCCGTAAGTTGTTCCTGTATTCTCTCAGGCATACATAGAGGTAAACCAGTGTCAACATCAGACTATCAAGATGCAGATCTAAGTAGCTGGGAGGAACACTCGTTTCCAAATAGAGGCGGCTTCCAAAAGTAGAGTTTGGATCTCCTCATAGACTGAAGTTGGAAAGATCCAGCTTTTTCTGATTCTTGCCTGGTTTTTGTTTTGCTTTTGTTTGGTTTCCAGCCTTTTTGTTATTAACAGAGCACAGAAGAATGTTTTAGAAAATTGAAACATTCCATTCTGAGTAGGGATTTTCAGCCAAAGTTAAAAGCAAGACTTCTCTCCTGTTTGTTTTAATACCAAATGAGCTGTCAAGTTTGTATTATATCCCTTCTCTGCAAAATATATAAAACACATTTCTCAGTAAGAGTGTTCTGCATGTATTTGAAATGTGTCTCACACACAGTTGCTAATATTATTTTTCCAGATACCTGAAAATGATGAATTATTTGTTGTTCGTCTGAGGAGCGTGGAGGGAGGGGCTGAAATCAACAACACAAAAGATTCTGTTCGGATTCGTATTAAGAAAAATGACAGCCCTGTGCATTTTGTTCAGAGTGCTTATATGGTGCCTGAAGAAGTTGGTGTGCTGGCAATTCGTGTGGTTCGCGGCAAGGATGACAGTGGAAAATTAATTGGACCTGATGAATATGAAGTCTCTGTCAGTTACGCCATCATAATGGGGGATTTAACAGCACACGCACAGCTTAATGTAGACTTCCTAGATCTACAGCCAAATACAACGATTGTTTTCCCACCTCTAGTTCATGAAACGTACATGAAGTTTGAGATCCTTGACGATGCCATACCGGAAATTGCTGAGACCTTTCAGGTTATGCTGCTGAAGGACACTTTGCGGGGAGATGCTGTTTTGGTTAATCCGTCTGTTGTTCATGTCACCATCCAACCGAATGACAAACCCTATGGAGTACTATCAATCAACAGTGTCCTGTTTGCTCAGGCTGTTATCATTGATGAAGACCAAATTTCAAGGTACTACAGATCTTCAAATCTAGTATCTAGTCAGTTTAAGAGATTTGTTTGGCATTGTTAGACATCCTTAGGATTTCATTGAAAGTAAGTATAAAATCACTACTGAAAATACAATGTAAAAATTGGGTAGTGTGTTGTAATTATTATCAACTGTATCTGCAAAGATTTCAAGGAAGTGGAAATGTCTAATTTTACAGGCAGTATTTTAGTATTTATAGGCTGTATGTAAAAACTGTAAATATTTAATCACGTTAATCAGACTATTGAAAAACTCTTATTCTAAAGGCAGGATCAATGAAATTGTGATGCTGCCACAGAGCACTTCATGTAAGTGAGAAATAGATTTCTGGCTTCCTTCCCTGGTAAATCTTTGTATTTACTATGTATAAAATCAGTCTCTGGTTTAAAAAAATTGTGTTGAGTGCCTCCCTTGAAATGCTTACCTTAAACTCAAAAATATTTAAATATTTCTAGTTTCACAGAGAGGTTAAAATCAAAGCTCTGTACAAATTCTGTAGGCAGGACTGATAGACAATACTGACAGTCTCAATTAAAATGTCCACTCCTAGGTACTGATGGTAGTTCATCCCCAGAGAAACAGGTAATACATCAGGCTATCATACTATGAACAGTTTCGAAAGAATATTTTATGGTATGTAGAGCCCAGCATTTTGGTATTCATCTTTATTTCCTATACACAGTAAACAAGTAGATCTTGCTTTCTAAATTTTTGTAAATCATGATTTCCAGACTTTTTGTTGTAGTCGTGTCCTTGTCGGATGCGTGAAATGTAACGTTTCCAGTATCATTAATAACTTAGTATTTCGTTACAGAGGGAGATAGTTCATTCAGAATCGATATTTAAATGTTCAGTTGACAACTGTATTTAAATATAGTTTATAAGATGTTGTAGAAAGCTAATAGACAAAAAGTTTTCTGAAATTTGAAATGTGTTTTTTGAGACAAATGTGAAACATGCCGAGACTCCACTCTCAGTATCTTTCTCTCTGTAAACAAAATAAGTTCTAACAAATATCTTTAGAGACATTGCAGAGAGCTCATGAATAAGCAGTCTAAGAAAAGTCTGTGTGTTTGTTACTATTCCACAAACTTTAAGCCCTGACTCAAATGTCTGTTGCAGCAGTTAACATTAATTCCGCTGAAGTCAGTGTAAATCTTTCAGGGAATCAATAACTCAGCAAGCCAGCCAATAGTAATTATAATTTTATGGTATGGGTTTTTATTTTGGTTCAAACTGTAGGTTTGAAGGGATCACGATTGTAAGAAATGGTGGAACGCATGGAAACATTTCTGTTGCCTGGGTTATAACCCGAAACAGCAGTGATCCCTCACCTGTGACTACAGACCTCATTCCAGAGACTGGGGAGATACATTTTGACCAAGGAGAGATGCTGGTAACGCTTCCTCTGAACATTATTGATGATGATACACCAGAAGAGGCAGAGCCCTATCGTCTGAAACTCTTAGCTCATACAATACAGGGAGGTGCAGAAGTCAGTGAACCCTCTGAGGTAAGTTTGCTTTCAGAATTTCTTTTGGAGAAGGCAAGAGTTAATAATTAGGGACTTTACCAGTTTTGATAACATCAATTGATTAGTTAGACTGGCTAAAAGGTTTGCACTTGAACATAAATCAAACGACTTAATCCTGAATATAATTTTAGTGTATAGAGCCGTATCCAAACTATTTGGCTGAGTATAGGGAACAAAGCCAGACCTTTTTAATGCGGTAGCATTCAGCTGAGATTATTCCCAACATACATAGCATTGCATAAATGCTGTCTTGGGTGACTGCTTGCTAAGAGAAGGCAGGAAAGTTATTTTCACTTGTTCGTTTGCTGTCTTAATGATTATTGGAATGTTTTACACTGAGTAACAGCTTCAAGAGGAGGAGTTGGTGATTAAGACTGTGACCTCTGAACTGTTAAATAAAGGGTGGCTAGCATTGCTGACAGTTTTGAGACTCAAATCCCTGCTTTGTCTTTCTCAAAGTTGGTTGGAATTAACTTGGTGAATAAAATGAAATTTTTCACATTCTGAAACTTTTTTAAATTATTCACTTTGGCTGCTGAACAAAAAAAATCAGTTATTCAGAGCTCATTCTGGCACATGGATGATGCGTAGTGGGAAAGCTGCCACTGCCTGTGTTGTGCTGCTTGTGTACAAAGAATACTTTAGGACTGTCAGTCTGATTTCTTTCTTGAGTGCCAGTTCACTAAGGAGAAAGATGTAGGGTGACAGACAGGACATGCTTTCGTGAAAGCATGAAAACGATGGTAGGTAGTAACTGTAGCACAGAGTTGGTGATGCTGTTTTCTGTTTTGCAGCTTCTGTTTTACATTCAGGACAGTGATGATGTTTATGGCCTCATACAGTTTCATCCTTTGGAGAATCAGAAGATTGAAAGTAACCCAATGGGACGCTTTTTATCCTTGAGCTTCGCAAGGGAGAGAGGAACAGTTGGAGATGTGCAGTTGGTTTATACTGCACTGTATATTCCAGCTGGAGCTTTGGATCCTGAGAGAGCGAAAGATGGCATTCTAAATATATCTAGAAGAAGCACTCTCATGTTTCCAGAAGGAAAAACAAAAGATACTTTAAATATACCAATAAGAAATGATGCATTCCTTCAAAATGGTGCTCATTTCCTCATTCAGGTATCTCAGTTCTGTTATGGGGTATTTTTTTAGCCCATGTAATATAAAGGATATAATTTAGTAATGGCTCCTTCCCTTTTAATTTAGTGAAAATGACCTACATGTTAAAAAAAAAAAAGTTAATAGCTCTGTAGCTAAGAAAACTTTATTATTTGGAGATAACTTCCATAAATATGCCATAAAAAGCTTTATTCCTAATCATTATTTACTAATTGCACTATTTTTAAAAAATAGACCATTGTAACAGGATTCAGGTATTAAACATGCAATCTAACAATATGAGATCAAAGTTGCAGAGTTAGTTACTTTTAGAGATATGGTTCTCTGTCTGCCCCTAGTCTTTCAATTTAATCAAATTAAGATTCTTAAAATTAGATTACAGAAGCGTGACAAATTTTAGAAATGACAAGCAAGTAAAAATACTTTTCAAATAGTCAAACTTATATTGTATTTCATTTATGTATAAATTTGACCAGAGAACTTAAAAAGTATTTTTTTCCATATTTCACTGTATGTGCCCTTTTGGGTTTTTTCCTCTTTTTTTCTGTCTAAGTTGTAGGAACGGAACTTCTGTCATAGCTAATTAGAATTGTCTGGAAAAATTCACTAAAACTATGTTCTAGACAGAAAACTGGATTTTCAGCAGAAATATTTAAAGAAAGAATCTACACTTTCCAATTAAGCCCTTGATTTTTCACTGGAGATAACAAAGTTTGCTTACATTTTAGCAAGTTATTGTTCAGCTGTACTGATGGTGAAGATCCTGGGTATTGCCGTCATTATTTGTTATACTCATTTTCTCAGCTGCAGTTAAGACTGCACCATAGTTCTTACTTCCTAGGATTAACTATTGCCACTCTGGTCAGCTGGGATGAACCCAGGTAGCAATCTTGATACAAAGGGATGACTTGGCACATGCAAGGCACCAATCACAGAGGCTTTTCTTATTTCCTTTTAATCTTTTAATTTAAAGTCAGACGACTTTAGGGTTTTCAAATGAAGATGTTTATGTTAAATCCATAGATTTAAAATTTGCCAGGTTTGTCTTTAACTTACGGTCTGAAGAAGATGTTTTGCTTACTTCTGGGACCTTGAAAAGATTTCTTCTCTTCACCACCTTCTCCCCACAGTCTTTGGAAAAAACCCAGGAAAAAAAAATTATTGCCAGAATTGTATTACTGTTTTACTAGTATGTGATTTTTTTGCTTTAACCGTTAGATAGGGAAGTGCATTCTCGGAAACTAGACTAGTTTTCTATGTTTTATGTCTGCATGAGATCTGAAAGATCTACAGAAGAATTGAAATATCTAGTTCCCAGCACTTTTTAAATGACACATTACAAATAACATTGCGGTGTGGACTATGGACAAGACACACATGTGACAAGTATTTCAGAAAGCGGGCGCTTTGCCCGGCTTTTCAAACTGCGGATTCCGGGGAAGTGGGGGGTGGATGTTCTGTACTTTCTCCATGAACCATAAAAAAACCTTTTTGTTTGAATAAAAAAAATCAGAGGGGCTTTCCAGCACAAATAATTGATTTAGAAACTCATAGAGAAGGAACAAAAATACCCCTATTTATCACTATGACAATTCCTCTACACTGTGAATAAATGATAATCTCAGCGAACACGTTTAGAATGAGAAGATTACAGAGTTTGTTCTAGGCCCAATAAAGGATCAATTCAGGAATCGGGAGGTGGAGCAGAGGAGGAAATGAAGCTTAAACACAGCTAGAGAATGGACAGAGGAACTGCAAAAGTGAGATTAACATTCTTCAGTGACATCTTGAATTAAACAACCTACTGTAGCCTGGGGTGTGGTTTTTGGTATGGACAGGAAGATTAACTAATTTAATAAACTACATGTCATTATTATTCAATTCACAATGCATTCTTTTTTCCTTATGAGCTGATGTGCTTGAAAAGGAAACATGGAACTAAAAATAAATTTTCTTGACTCTTCATTAATTGTTACTTAAGTCTCAAAGTTAGTATCCGGGATCAGAAGCACTGAACAAAGTGAATTGTTTCAGCTGTGTAGTATTTCAGAAACTTTACTGAGCTAACAACCGCAGAGTGGATCAGGGCCTACGGTAAAAGAAAGCTTAGAAAACAAGCAAAACACACAATCCTGCCATCTGTTCCTCAGATTCTCAACAAATTGCTGGCATGGTTGAGAATCAATTGCTGAATACACTATTTGTAAAACAGTTCCATCTATCATCAAATAAAATGTGAATGAATACGTTTGTGTGTTACTCAAGCAATCATGGAAACCAGTATGATACTGCCCAAGCATTTTAGATAGATTGGTTTTAAGAAGTGAAGAAGTTCAAAAATCGTCAGTTGAAATGGAGATTTGTGAATTTAAATAAGGTCACTTTCCCCTCCTCCAATGAAACCTTGCTATGTGATAACATCTGATAACTCCAAGCAAAAAACATACTAATGGGACTTAAAAGGTGGTTGTCACTGGGGGTTCGTGTCCATGAGATGTTTGCAGATGTAAGTGCAAATCAGTTATGGAAATGTTTATTATAATGATGCATGTAGACAGAATCACATCATTACAGTTATATTTGAAACAAATATTTGAATAGGCAAGTCGTGCTCTCCTCATTGTGTCAGTACTGCTGCTGGGTTTAGTGAGTGATACATCCCATTCAAAGAAAGGCTAAACATTTTTCTATTTCCTCCTAGTATCAGTAAACCACCAGAAATATGGTAACACAAGAGAAGACTACAGTATTGAAATATTATCCTGATTTTCAGGTCTGAATGCAGTTCTAATGGATTAGTTGTTATGAATAGAGAAGTACTTAAAGTTGTGTGAGAGAGGAAAGACGGCTGGATCATTCTTTTGCTTTATCATTGATTTAATAATAAATTATTATGGTTCCAGTGACCACAGCAGATTTTTATCAATGCATGGCACAAAAAATGAAGTTAGGACAATTGCTTGGGCCTCTTGTCAATTCCATACTGTTATTCAGAGATCTAGTAATGAATCAGCTGCTCTAGAAGGTTTGTTCTCCCTCTACATGCATTTAGTTGTGTACACAAACGTGAGTTGTCTGACAGGTGTACCATTCTGCTGACAAAGCTCAGTGGTATCCACTGCATTTCTTTGACACATCTACTTACACGTTTTTGTAAAGCAGTGTTGGCAGTAAGAGAAATTTGTTCTGGAGATGTTTTGCTCCGTACGCATGAAACTTACTCTGAAATGTCAGAGTTTTTCCGACGTGGTACTAGGGCTTCGTATTTCTCAATTTTTTCTTTTTCCTACAGCTGGAAAAAGTTGAACTGGTGAATAGAATTCCTCTAGTCCCATCTGCAAGTCCTAGATTAGGTGAGATTCGAAATATTTCCCTGAGGATTACTCCAGATATTGCAAATGGAGAAATAGGCTTTACTAGCAATCTTCCAATTATTCTTTCTGAGCCAGAAGATTCCCCTGCTACAGTGGTAAGTAAATCCTTTTATATTGTCCTCTAGTATAGAAAATTTATTTGGCAAAAGCAAAGTTTGAAATATTCAGTGTAACATTGAAAGTTATTGTGAGGAATATCCTTCCTCTTAAGTTCTGTCTGATCCCAAATATTTGCTTGTGGTTTTTTTTTTAAAAAAGGGCAAAAAAGACCTTGTAAAACTAAGGTTTGAAATAATGTGTTAGTCATTATCAGAAAAGTGAGGCTCATCTTTGCTTTCTCTGTAAGCATCCAAAACCAGTTAGGTCTTGATGCTTACTCAGAAGAAAAGATGGTGCAGACAGTTTTAATCTCTCTCACCAACTGCAAAGGTAGTAATGTAAATTAGGACTGATGCTGGTCCTAGATTTCATGGGAACCTCTGTGTATCTTACAGTTGATGGACTTATCTATGAAGATATTTTTTGGCTCGCTGGGCATGTTTTCCAGCAGTTGTGCTTTCAAGGTTTCTGAGAACCCAAAGAAGCATTTTCAAAAGCATTGCTCTCCATATGAGTGCCTTAGTCTCAGCTGGAGAAACTTTTTTTAAAATGTTTTTTTCATACATTTTCACTTTTTTCCCTGTCTGTCTTCACTGAACTCTTCCCACAAATACTGAATCAGATACCTTGTCAATCTCAGATTAAAACTGCTAATTACCTTGAGCACAGTGCAGGTTTCGCTGTACTATAGTGACCAGAGTAAAATTATGGTAGTTATATTTAAAATCTAGGTTGTGTCTTGAAGAGGCAGGCACTGATTAAATTCCTCATACAAGGCTTTTTCTGTTTATGGTTGCTTAACTGATTTGTGATATAAACAATCTGTCATCTCCACTGTCTTAAGTATGTGACTGATAAATGGTTAAAAGGATAAGATTCAGAATATATTTTCATTGATACATAATTTTTTATTTCATGTCATATTCGTAGGTATAAGTTAAAAAAAACAAGCTGAACATTTTGAGGCTCATACTGAGATAGTAATTTTCAAGGGAGTAATTGTTTTTGCACCTAATTTTATGAGTCACAACAGAATCATGTGTTTCGTAGGTTTCCATTGCGTTGCATCGAGATGGAACTGATGGCCAAGCAACTGTGTTTTGGAGTCTGAAACCCTCTGGTGTCAATCAAAAGGCAGTAACACATGACGATATAAGTCCTTTTAATGGCTCTGTTGTTTTCTTATCTGGACAAAGTGATACTACAATCAACATTACTATTAAAGCTGATGATACACCTGAAATGAATGAAACTGTGTTACTAATTTTGGACAGGTATTGTACTCTAATCTCTATTCATATGTAACAGTTGTAATACTCAATTCATACATAACATATTCCCACAGAATTAATTGGAAGGTGTTGCCTGTATTGTGTTGACAAGTGCCTGAAGGAACATTAGGCCCTTCATTCAGGCTGTATATGGATTCTTCTTTGGGTGGAGATCAGTGTAAGGAACTGTGTTTTACGTATTATCTAATGACTTATTTTGTGTATATTTTGATGAAAATGATGTATGCTATCTAGAAAGATCTTTCAGCTTTGATATTTAGTTATAGCTCTTGCTTATAACACATATCTTTTCAGAAAATAATATTTAATGAGATAATGGGGAAAATTATAACGAAGAGTAGAAAGCAACTGTGTTTCTGCCAGAAAAAAGGTTTATATCTAGACTGTCATTGCAGAGTGAGATCAGTTTTTTATTTGTTTGATCTGTACGTTCAGTGTTGCTTGCTCTTGATAATTAGATACTTCAATCACAACTCTTGGTTTCCAGAATAGCCCAGTGTGACCATTACCACGCTGTTTGGCTACAAAGAGAGCCTTGGTGTTTCTGAAGCACACTGGTATACTCTTCCTTCTGCACAGGATCAGGATTATAGGATAATGAAGGCTGTAAGGGACCTCAGGAGATGCTATTATCTGCATGTGAGCACTAAGAATACTTAAATTAGTTCATATCCAGGAGTGTATTCCCTCTTTGATTTACTGACAAGAGAGTCTTGGCTAAAGTCTTCCGTCTTGCTTCCAACAACTCAACTGTAAATGTAATTTAGAATTACCACCACTTCTTCTGCTATCTCCTATTAGTCTAAGGTACATTTTTCCACTTTTTCTGGAGACATACTAATAGGGGTCTGCCAGCACCAAGGTCCTCATTGAACATCTACTGCTTACACAGTGCTTGCCTTATGCAGAAGTTTTTTTGCCCTATATAGGAAGTGCAAACTAGCTCTTGGGAGCCTCAATGCCAGATACCCATTGGGATTACATACCAGCAAAACAGCAACCAGCTCCTCAAGCTCTTACTGATCCTGTGCCAGAAAGACTGTGCTTTGAACATCATTCTATCACACAGGAAAGATGTTATTCCACTGCAGAACTGTCCTGCTTCTGTAAAAGCTGGCTGGTGGATGCACCTGGCGCAGAAGGAGTTATTTCATTATACCTTGGCTGCACACTCCATTGGAAAGACAATCCTGTTCAAGAAAAAAACGAATGGGGACTATTGCAAGCAGTTCTCTGCTTTCCTGGTTCATCTCAAGGAATTCATTAGAGTCTCTAGCACTAAGGGGGAAACTAAGGTTAGAAATGATAGTGGAAGTTGTGAAGAAGTTGCTTAAGGTTGCCAGAAAATGGGAGTAGAAAGGTAGGAAACAAATAAGTAGACAGAGGAAGTGGTCAGCGTAAAAGTTTAACTTTTTAAGCTCTGACAGCTCTGCAGGTGTGTGTAACTACAGCTTTCTGCCGTCTGTGCTGAGCAGTAGCCCTAGGCTGTCCCTTGAGAGTGATGGCTGCAGCGAGGATTGAACTGGCAGCTGAACAAACATAACCACTGTTCTGCTTTTGCTCTGTGCGGTGGGAGTAGCAGGTTCTGCTGATCCTGAAGTGGCTGGGGAGGAGCGTGCCAGCAGCAAGCAGCTTTCCCACACTTGGAAGGTCAGAGGACGAAGGAGGGAGCAGGTGGTCTGCCCTGGAAAAAGAAGTGAACAAGGAGGAGATAAAATCTGAACTTTTCTCTAGACCTGGATAGTGTCCCTCAAGGCTAGGAGTGAAATTTGGCAACTTTAGCATGAGCAGAAGCCAAGAATGCGATGACTGCAAAGATCATCCTTTCAGTCCTGGAGATGACTCTTCAAATCAGGGTTGAAGGATACCAGCAGGGTTACGTGTGTAAGCTTTTGGTATTGCTTTCTGCATAGTTTGTGTTTTCTGGATGAACAGACGATTTCAGTTTGCAAGGCTGGCAGCCAGCACCTCACAGCAGTAGTGAATTAGCATGAAAACAAAGATGCACTGTGCTGTGGATGTGCATGTGCTGTATAAATTGTACCATAACTCAGTACCAGAACAGAGCATGTAAGAACTTTAATGAAACTATAGGCATAGAAATACATTCAGAAGCATTCTATTTATTGCCATTAGTAATAGAGTGGATAAAACAATAAAAATAATTAGTTCTAACAAGGATGTATTATCTACAACTCAGTGGTGGTGTTAAGGCAGTTTACATTTTAAATGAGATTTGTTTGCGTCCATAACTATAAAAGAGACTTCCCACTCCATTAAAAGTAATATTTTCCTTCCTTGCTCTGTGGCCTCCATCCATAGGCTGTAGATATTAAAAAAAAAGTCTGATGTCTGCCCACAAAATGGAGACCAATGTGTATCATGAGGAATATGCTTCCAAAGGAGACAGATGAGTAATAAAGAAGCAAGGCAATCCTGTACCTGCTGAAGCTTCTTCCTAGTTTCTTTTTTTAGGAGCAGCTTCAGGTTGAATGCCTGCCCAGATATTAACAGGCCCGAATAGAGAGAAACATGAATAAAGCCAGATGTCTGTAGTGAAATCTGTATGAGAAAGAAAAGGCCTTGATCTTCTTGATGAGTGTAGGTGGAACAGGCCATGGAAATTGTGTGTATGCTTTCTGAAAGCATATATATATAGCAGGACTGTTCATTTTACCTGGTAAACACAAATAGAAATCAGCATTTTGAAAACCTGATTGTTGTTTATTTTCCTTCTGCACAACATATTCTCCTGCTGGCAATTATCCCCTTAGCAGGGTGCAGATAGAGAGCTATCTAGCTGGCAATTTTGGCACAAGTGGAGGGCCAGGACCTCCAGAGCATGCGGGTTGTGTTTAAATGAATTGTGCTGAGAGTGAGAGATTGTGGACTTTGGGATCTGGGAACTGCAATATACTGACAAATGGATTTTAATTTGTGAAAGTGATAATCCATAAACAGATGACTGTTTAAATAGTCCTTATGCTCAAATTTTTTTCAAGTCATGACTCAAATACAGATTTGTGCACATATGTTATGACCTAAATCTCATTTACTATGTATAATAAAGCAAAACTGAAGCGATGTACCATGGGGATTTTTATAGTTCTAGGGACTTCTGTGATGTGATACTAGTTTCCACAGGCTGAAATTCTGTCTTGAGTAAATTTGGAAAACAGATTTTTTTACAATTGCAAATGCAAAACATAAGTTTGACTATTTTGTTGTGAAATATCTGGTATTTTTAACATTTTTGGTGTTTAAGAGATTACTTCATGAGAAGAAGTTAGCAGGTCATAGAAGGCCCATTTAAAGCACTGCAAACTGTCTATGTTCCTTAATTCAGGGCTCAAGTAATGTTTATATGTTGTGGGCTGCTGTCTGCACTAGCATGCACAGAAACACTAGTATACTGTTTAATGGAGCTGAGATTTCTTCTAACTTCATGATTTCCTGTGGTTAGTGTCTGTTACAAAACTGTATCTTTCTTACTTAGGTAATTTTTGTATGAAGTAATACACATGATGCTATTTGAATGAACTCTTTCAGTGTAAAATGTTGGCTTTTTCTTCAAGGGTTTGATCAGACGTTATTCTGATGTGGAAAAAGCTATTTCAGGATAGTAGTACAATGTTTAAATGAGTGCTACTGGACACCTACTGCTAGCTTTTATTACTTTTCAAAATAATAACACCATATATCTCCTGCTATGAGTAACAAAAATTAAAATAGCCTCCAAAATCAAATAATTTGTGGATTAAACCTGGAGAAAAGGTGTTCTCTGATGAGAAGCAGTGTGGAATTTATAATGTGGCAAATCCTACTTTAATACTGCTCTTTAAAGCTAGGTCCTGCCACTAATTAAATCAGTAGATTATCCTAAAAAAATTGAAGAAGGAGTGAACACTGACTTCGAATCTAGGAAGCAAATTGAGTAACATTCCACAGGCAATCTGAATTCGCGTTTTTTGAGACACCCTGATAGAGAAGAAAGTTTTTTAGAGAAGTCTGTTTTTAATAGTTACAGCAGTACAGATTCACAGTTGCATTTCAGTTTCTCAGGTGCCTTTAATATTAACTTTCTGCAGAATTCCAGTTCTCAGTTCAAAGCTATCAAATTCAACCACATTGCATCAGTTAATAATTGGTATTTTGTTTGCAGTGTTATTTAGTTCATAATAACATTGAAGTGGCCATGTTACTATAAATTCAGTTCAAAATATTCTTTCTGCTATATTGTAGTACCCTGTGTTTAAAAAAGTGTAAGAAACATTTTGAAGCTACTGTTAGTTGTCCCAATTAATCTGTAGTTCTCGCTAAATAATAATGACAGCTTTTTTAAGGAAAGAGTTTCTTGCCTTTTAAAGAAAGAGCCTAATTTCACATGAGATTTGTATTATGGGAAGTGTTTTTTTTACAGCTCTTTCATCACAGGAAACACAGTTATGCAGTTTCAGATTGCGTTTCTTGGGTTAGCATCATAAACATTGCCAGCACTTATCCTCTGCGATAAAATGACACTTCATGTCCACAGATAACCATTTTACAGAGAAAGTTAAGCTGAGGAGGAAAAAAGGCAAGTGACTTTGACAGTGGTAGGGATCTTCTTACTCCTGGTCAAGTGCTCTCTCCAGTAGCTGGAGCTCCTTGATATGGTGAAGAGACTGTGGACGAGGAGCTGGTTTAACTTTTATCGTCACTGTTGAATTCCCTCACCTGGGCAAACTATGAGTTTTGGAAGTTCTGAATAGCCATTTCTGTTCCGTTTCTGCACTGCTGTTATAGGAGTGCCTAAATTCTCTTTAGTGAAATGGGACTAAACTGATCCTGTGCACTCTGTGGCGGTTTGGACGTGTTTACTCTGCGATGAAAGGACTGTACATGAACATAGAGTTGTTCTTGGACGTTGTCAGAGCCTGTAGCAAGATCTGATGGCTAGTGGCCTGTGGGCTGTGCAGTGTCTTTGAGCCAGGGGTCCAGCCTCATACCATGGCTAGTTGGGCAGGGTCCTGTCCCACTGCCCCAGCAAGGCCGGAGAGCTGGCTGGAGCGGGTAACTGTGGGCAACCTGGAGTCCAGGGCATCACAGAATCATAGAATCATAAAATCATTAAAGTTGGAAAAGACATCTAAGATCATCAAGTCCAACCATCAACCCAACACCACCCTGCCTGCTGACCCATGTCCTGAAGTGCCCCATCTACACGTTTTTTGAACCCCTCCAGGGATGGTGACTCCCCCACTGCCCTGGGCAGCCTGTTCCAATGCCTGACCACTCTTTCAGTAAAGAAATTTTCCCTCATATCCAATCTGAACCTCCCCTGACACAATGTGAGGCCATTGCCTCTCGTCCTGTCACTAGTTACCTGGGAGAAGTGACCAACACCCACCTCACTACAACCTCCTTTCAGGTAGCTGTAGAGAGCAAGGTCACAGTGGTGGGGCTGATCAAGCCAGGAACACGCCTCAGGTTTAGGTCTCCGGAGTCAGGTACAGCCCAGCGATGCCAGGCAGGTCCACAGTGAGGAGACAAATCCAAGGTAGAGCCAGGAATTCACCTGGTGGGTCCTGATCCAGGGATGTCACGAGAATTTATACATGTGTACCTCGGAGCGTCGACATGAGGGGTCCTGTGGTGTAGACCGTTCGCTGCTCGTGTTACAGCAGTTTAGAGTTGGAAGCCTGAGCCTAGTTGCTTCTATTCCATTTTTGTGGGGGCTATTTTATGGCTTTTTTTATTAGTAACCGACATTTACCACGTCAGAACAGTGACAGAAATCTGGCCAGTCACACAGAGAGAACATGGTCAGATCAATCAATCAATCAATTAATAAAGTGGTCCTAATGTTGAAAACAGGACTTGGATGGAGAAACTTCCCGAACAGTGGTTTTCTTTAGCAGTGGATGGGCTGAATCTGACTAGTTGCTTTCTGACCTGCAAGTTCTCTAGATTCCGTTCTGACTTACATTGTGACTGTTTAAAAGTAATAAAGTATTGCCAGTCTTCTCAGGCCTTCCAGAGAACACCTGGAGATGCTCAAGAAGCACACCTTACGGTGCCTTGTGACTGTTTCCTTGCTGCTGCCCTCTGATATCTGCCTTGAAGCGTGTTGGATTCTCCCGTGGCTCCGCGGTTCATCTGAACAGGCTTTTTGTCTGAGCTGCAGTTGGACTCATGCAGCGTAACTTCATGAAGCTGAAAGAGATTTTATTTCTGGCATGCCCTTTCGCTTTATGATGAATTATTATGTCTTAACTACTTAAGCTTGTACACACACATCAAAAACTCACTTGACATAATGCTTCATTTGTATTCCTTGTTGTAAATTATATTGCCAACAGCTTAGTGATATAATTAAATTTTAAAATTACGAACTCTGGAATTTTCTCCTTGATCTTTTCATTGTGTTAATACTTTGATAGTTTTGGAACACTTCTGCATATGTTTTGGAAGAAAGAGAGAATGTCTCAATATATAGTGTTTAAAATTTAGTGTCACTGGAAATCAATGAGAAATTTCAATTAACATTTCCTACATGAAAGAAAAAAAGTGTACTTGCTTTACTTTCTCAAAATTTGGAGTGAACTTTTGTCTCTATTGAGTTCTGAATCAGAGTTCTTTTTTGAGATTAGTAAAGTCAGAATTTCACTTTGTAAATGCCATGGTAATCTATGGTATTTTGATTGGAGATACCTGTTTTTGTCATTACTTTGTCATTACTGTGACAGATTCTGAAATAACATATCATGGAGGCATCTAGATTTTTTTTTTTTAATTAATTAAAGGCTATTTATAAATGCAGGCTTCTGATGCGGTTGTGAGCAGGCGCAGAGGTTGGCAGTGATGGAGCTTTTGGAGGAGTGACCATGAATGGGTCTTGACGTGCTGAATTGGTCATGGGGTCATTTCTCCTAAGTGAGAGCTGCCCACTTGCTAGCCTTTGTCAACAGGAAAATGCCAAGCAAGTAGAGTTCCCATAAAATGAACATTATAAGCTTTTGGAAAGGAGAAAGCAAGCTTTGTGTGTTTTTTCTTTTTTTTAATTATTATGATTCTTTTCTAAGATTGGTACTATTGAAATTCTAGCAAGTGGCACTTTCATTCCTTCCCCCGTCCCCTTCCTCCTTTTTTTCTTTCTGTGTTGACAGGGTAGAGACAGAAAGGTTTGTCGTGTACTTTGGGTAAGTGCAGTGAACTGTGTTTTGTCTTCAGTGAATCGGTGCTTTGTTTTACAAGTGATTGGTTTGGACAGAATCTCTCTTTATCATTTCTTTTTCTCTCAGGAATCACGTCTTCTGCATCTCTTCAGACAATGCATGCTTGCCCTTTGGTGTTTAGTTTGATGGCATGGGGCTCTGGCTTGAAGGAGTTTCTTTATTTAGGCTCTGTGAATGATGTTATGAATGCATGGCTCAGTGTTTGATTTTTGAGCGTTTGATGCAATAATGGTTTAGTTGTTTTAAACTGCAGAAATACAATTTGCCCCATCTAAATCACTGAACTCGCTAGAATTATACAAAAGAAGTTTTCCGTGGTCAAAGATGAGTAGTTATCTTGTTATTGAATAACTTACATGTAGTTTACGTTAACACAAGTTACTGTGTCTGCTGACATATTTTTTTAATGTGCAATAAAAATGACAAGAAACATAATATTTCCTGGTTTGCATCTTGTATTCTCCCTGTAGATTTCGCTACAAGATACATTGCTATTTGTTTTTTTGTGCATGAGCGTTCCAGTTGTTTATGGAGTGTTTGTGGAAACAGTTCTGGGACTGATTTCAAATATTGGATATAATAGATCACAAAGATTTCTTTCTACATGAAGTAATGTTTCATGAAGTCTAGGCTGTAGTACAGTGAAACCATAAAAATATTTACACTGTGATGGACGGAGAGTTCATTGAAATTTTCTTCCAGGAAACATGGAAGGCGCACAGGAATGTAATACCTACATAAAACACCATGTCATAAGCCATATCCAAACCATCAGTCTGTAGGTGCATTCTTGGTGCACCCTTCAGTAGTAGTTTTTCTGGCATTTTTAGTGTAATGAACTTAAGACAACGACATTGAAAATTACCACGTCTGAGGAAATGAGTGTGAGAAATGTGCGAGGTTCCCTTCTCTTGCCAGATATGGCCCATTTGTGTCCATGAGTGAGACCGAGATGCCCTAGCAGCAGCCCAGGGAGAGAAATCCTCCACCAAGAGGAGCTCTGTTTGATCCTGCACTGTTCACTGTATGCTTTTAGGCAGTGGGTTTCTGAATAAGGGAGGAGAAAGGGAGTGAGTCTGAGCTACTGAGAGTAGGTCCAACACTTACCAGAACCAGACTGGGATCCTACAGGCAGTGTGCACATCTTACAGAAGGCAGGTTAACACACAGGTGAGGATGAAATCCGCAATGTTGAGGGGCAAGTCTCCTCCTATTTGTAGGAACAGTAAATTTGGCAGAAGAGGGTAAGAATGTGTGCTTGTCAATGTAATTTCTATTTGCTCAAGTGATTTTGGATTGACCTCTGGTTTGATCCAAATACAAAGTAATATGGAATGTAACTATCTTTTCACTGCAGAATTCTGTTTCTTTTCCTGTCTGTTGTGTGCATGTGTGCCTAAAAATACCCAGAATCACCAACTATAAAAACTAATCAGAAAGCAAAGTTGCTTCAGAAACAAAGGTGGGGTTTTTTTTGCAAGTGGATAAAACATACTGATGCGTCTTTCTTAATTTGTTTTATTTTTTGCAGGTAATTGTTTGTTTTCATAATCCTTTTATAAAATTCATCAGTATTCTAATGTCCTTTGCATAGATGTGTTTTTACTTGCCAGAACTGTCACTCAAAAAGCCCTCTTGCCTTCTTTTCTCAGGGTCAGTGTGGAAAACCAAATACTGAAATATGGGTTTACTACTTGTGAAATTATTATTTTGGAAAATGATGATCCTGGAGGAGTGTTCGAATTTTCTCCCTCTTCCAGAGGTCCCTACAGTATCAAGGTAGCTATCTGAGTAAGTTCTCTTAATCATTAGGATCAACTTTGTTTCAGCAGAGTGCTAGAAAACAGCTGGATTTTCTATTTTACAGGAAGGGGAGTCTGTCGAACTGCAGATTGTCCGCAGCAGAGGAAGCCTCCTCAGGCAGTTTCTGCGCTACACTGTAGAACCGAGAGACAATAACGAGTTTTATGGAAGCACAGGAATTCTGGAGTTTAAGCCTGGTGAAAGAGAGATCATAATTACTCTGCTGACAAGGATGGATGAGATTCCAGAGGTTAAAATTAATATTTTTCTCTCTTCAGATTGTGTTCACAGGCATATTAGTTTGTCACGTATTAAAATATAGGCAAGTATATAAGAGCAGAACAACTGTTTAATGGCTTTTCTCCAGAATGTCTTCCCAGCCTCCAAACCAGGGAAGCCTGGATGAATAGAAGGTGACTTTGGGTTTAATAGTCCTCAGTGGATTTTCTTCTGTGAATCAAAATGATTAAGCTTATAAGTTGAATCCATGGAAGTTTTTAGCACCCATGACATTCCGTAGCATAGGGTGCCATTGTTGAGTTGAACTCTTTTTATATTCTTTTTTTCCAGTAATCATCTGATAGCTTCACTCAGTGATCCCCAGTCTAGACTAATGCTGGCCTTATAGATACATAGATGCAATACTTGTTTTAATGTTCCTTGAAGCATTATCTGTGCGTTTTTTTGAAGAAATGTGTGGAGTACAAAGCCCCATTAGATTAATAAGGCAAGATGATACGTTCTTTCTAAATTAGTGTGCTGTCAATGGTTTTAAAATCTTTGCTTTCCCTGTTACAAAGCCGGAAAAGTTAGTAAATCTTACAGAAAAGAAAGCTTACATTTCAGGGAACATTACAAATACATTTGTACTAGTGACTTGATGTGATTCTAAGTTAAGTACACAAAATAAGGCCTTGCCTGTAATAATGCTAGATTTTTGGAGAAAACTGTCCTATCAGAGATGGAAATTTCTAATTATTTGCTTGTTCTGGTGGCAATGTGCAAACACATTGTGCATGTAGAAAGTATGTGTTATTTCCTTTTGTTTAAATTTGTATCTCTTTCTGCCTGGCTAGACACTGTGGATGTTTGCCCATTTTTTTTGGATGTGAATACTGAATATGTATGTTTATTCTGACTGAGCTTCCCTCTTCTAGCTGGACGAGATGTATTCTGTGGTACTCAGTGGCTACAGTGAAATACCAGGCAAGCTGGGAAATGCCACAACGGTCAATATAACCATTTTGAAGAATGATGACCCACATGGTGTCATTCAGTTTCTACCTGATGAACTATCAGTAACAATAAAGGAAAGTAAAGGAGAAATCATCTACGCTGGTAATTTTTTTTTTTTTTTTACAAGGATTACTGCTTTATCTGTTCTCTGCCCCCGCAAGGCTTCCTTTCCCCATTTCACCTTTCTAGGACAATGTCTGACTGCAGTCTCCACTCAGGAGTTTCCAGAGTGGTGCAGTGCCAGCGAGATGAGCAGTAGAGGCTGAAGTGGAAAAGGAAGGACGTGGAAAGCCAGAGGGATCAATCCAGTTAAAAAAAATGGCTACAGAATATGCCAGACAGGAGGGATGGAGTGTTGGTGTATGTGCAAAGTGCAGCCTGGAGATAGTAGCTACGTTTGTGGAGCAAGAAGAGTAGGGTGCTATGTGAGAGGAGAGTAGAGCTGAGTGTTCAGATGAGTGGCTTCAATTTATGTATCCAATTATCAAGTACATGTACAGGCAAAAAGTAACAAATTTGAACAATCTTGAGCTGCTTTAATGGTCTTTGTTGTTTTGTGTAGTGCTCTCATAGTATTGCTTTTGCAAGAAGTGGATTTGCTTGTTGCATCCTTTCCTTTTTCTTTGTTTCAGTTTTGCTGACCTTCTTTTTTATTTGTGTTTTTATGAATATGCACACTGACTGTAGTGTTTGCATTTTTTAGCTGCCTACAGAGTTGCAAGAAGCCAAGGAAACTATGGCAATGTTAGTGTGTCTTGGGTTGTTGATCCAGCATGCACCAATGACATCTATCCAGAACAAGGAACTATTTTTTTCGATAATCTGGAGTTTTCAAAAAATATCACTATTTACTCACTGCCAGATGAGGTAAGCATTTTTACAGTGCTTTTGTGTGAGTATGTGGGACAAAGAATAAGTACTAAAACATTATAATTTAAGGAGAAAGAAGAAATATCTGTTTTTTAGGAGAATGTTTTTTTCTCTAAAACTGAGACTACTTCAGCAAATCATAAAAGAATTTGAGAAACTGTGCATACTTAAAAATGTTAGAGGCTGAGAGTAGTTGAAGGTGGTTGAATTATAGAAAAGTTCTTTTGAATAAAAACTCTGTTTTGGTAGTAGGAGTCCTAATTTTTATTTTTAAGGCCGATATATTTGAAGTAATGTAAGAAAGAATCAGAATAATTAATAATAAATAAATAAAACTGTAAAAATAAATCACGTGTATCAGAAGCAGGAAATTGCAAGGTAACTTCTGAGTCATCTGTACAACAGTAAAGATGAGAGGAGTTATTTACGAGGATTTTAGACATAATGGTTTCTGTGTAACTGTACAAACTGTCATTTGTCATGTTTCTTGACACACGTAAGGGTCAATAAATAAAATAACACTCAGAAATCTCTGGTTTGTTAACCCCTTCAGCTGTTCATTTTAATTTCTTCATTGTTTTGTATACAAGAAATTAATATCATAATACTTTCTTTTTCAGGTGCCTGAAGAGATGGAAGTATTCATCATCAGCTTATTCAATGCTACTGGTGGAGCCAGGCTGGGCAATATAACCAGTGCAATTTTACAAATTACAAGGAATGATGATCCTATTTATTTTGCAGGTTAGATACTATTGTTTTTAAATGTAGAATACATATACTACCTTGAACAGATTTTATTGACAGACCATATCATTAAGAAATCCTAATCCTAGTGGATCTAGTATAAAACATTCATTTTTGTGTTGTGTTCAATTTGTATTTGTTTCCTCCAGAACCTTGACTTATTTCATTACTCTCTTTGTTGATGGTGAGATTGGTTAAGTGTACAACAATATTCTCTTGTACCTGCACATAGTTCCATGCCTTTACCACATATGCCTTCTGTTTCACTGAGGAGAAGGATCCTCTTGGGGAGGATTAAGACAACAGGCCACACACAAGGAGCTCAGGTTTGACAACTCAGGTGGATTTGTTGCTTGTGTATTTTCAGAACCCCTGACAGTGAGCGTTAAAGAAGGAGGTGCTGCAAACTTTACAGTCCTAAGGAATGGATCTGCTGATGTTGCTGTTGCTGTCCAGTATATGACAGTTAATGGAGATGCAACAGCTGAAGAGGAAGACTTTGTTCCCAGTGGAAAGAGCAGCGTTATTTTATTTGATGTTGGAGAAAGAGAGCAGAACTTATCTGTATATATTAATGATGATGATACCCCTGAAACTGATGAAACATTTTATATCTTCCTTTTGAATTCTACAGGTAAAAGTAATGATTTGATATATGTTTAGTAAATATCCTTTTGTTTTGTTGCACTTCTTTACCAGATTGTTCTTATCATAAAGCGATATATAAATGTCAAATATTACACGAATAAGGTTTACTTCAACATCTCTATACAATTACCATATACAGTATGTTTGGATTTTCGTCTTTAATTGCTTAACTGGAAAAAAAAATCAAATTATATAGCTGAAACCTTTCCTGCAAAAATAACTGCAGTCAAAGTCTCTTTTCAAATGTAAATGCTCCAAATTAGATGGGGTTTTGACTTGACTACAGAAACACAAGGCTAAAAAAACAAACAGAACTGCCTTGTTTTAGAGCAAAACCATGTAAATTGGTCTCTGTTTTATTTGTGTAGTCGTGCAATGTATGCATACATTTTTTTTCAGTCTGACATTATACTTTTACAAGGCTTAATCTACAGAAGAATGTGTGTGAGAAATTACCCAGTGTACCACCAGTAAAGAATGGGTTTATTATCTTAGAAGTAACATTGTCTTTAAAAAAACAAAAATAATTTAGCAGGAAATGGTACAAAATTATTCATCACATTCCTGTTTTTAAATAGACGTCTTGTGGAATAACCTGTCTCTGCTGTGTAATATTGATAAGAAAATGTAAGTGAAATGTAAGAATTAGGTACATTTTCCTGTGTTCTACCTGCTTAATAAAGACCCTGCCCACCCCTAGCCCTGCCAAGAAATAAGATGTAATATGGGAGTCATTTACAATTGTGTTAGCAAATTTTAATGATTTACTGTCCTGTTCTGTAGCTGAGAGGTAATAACAGGCTGTGATCACACTGCGTGGTCATTTCAATGCAAACCAAAACTGAAATGAATAATCAAATAATCAAATCAAAACAAGGACTCCGACTTGAGGGGCTGTAATTTAATAAAGCAAAGGAGAACTATCACACTTAACTGTCAGACTATACCTTCACGTTAGATTGCGTGGGAGGTTCACAAAGTAAAATGCCTACCAGGGATTCAGTTCAAGACGAGGAAATATAAAATCAGATTTCTTCATTTAGACATGCATGCAAAGTGCTTTAGCCCTCATTACAATCTGTAATGATCTGATTGACAGCCAGTGAGTCTGGGAGTGCTTCAGGTCACAGGACAGTGGACAGGCGGTGGGAGGTCTATGAACGGCTCACAAGGCTTCACTGCTCTCAAACTGAGTCTGCCCTAGACATTGGTAGCACTCAGCCAGATAATTGTTGGGGAATTCTTAGCAGTTCTTTGATACAAGGTGGCTTATGTGTTTGCTGAGGTCAGCTGGCATTCACTCTGGTACCCAGGTCTCTTACAGAACATCAACCTTATGGAAATGATTGAGCAAAGCCATTCTTCTTCATTATTCAATGATCTCTTTCTACTTTACTAACTTTCTTCAGAATCTACTGGCATTTTCTCTTACCACCCTTTCGGGAGCATATGATGGCTTTCCTCCTGGCACAGTGGGTCTACAAGGATGGGTAGCTGCATGCTCACTTTGCCTCTAGAAGGAGGATCATATCATCATGCAGCCTCTCTAGAATCGCTAAGGATACAGAACACTTCTACAGATGTTCCTGAAAACAGAGAAATTTCTTTTCTTTTTATGATCTGTTGCATATATTGGGATTGTTACATCCCTTTTGAAACTTATGTTGGACTCTTGTACCTCAGACAAAATACAGAAACGGGTATTTAAAGTTAGAGCAGTAATCACATCGTTTGCTTTGGAACAAAGGCTAGTCTAACGCTTACATAGGGTAGATAATGGGATGGAGTGGAAACATAATGCAGGTCTGTGGACACAGGAAGGGTGCTAGACGGTCTCAACAGTGCTAATATACACAGAGAAACCATACTATCTTTCACTGTATTTCATAGATATCTTATATTTTTTTTCCTTTCAGATAGGCTGGGATATGGGTATGAATAAACTCTTAGACCTTGTTCTTAGCTTGTGTTTAGATGAAGTGCAATATTTCTATTCTAGATCTAAGGAAGAGCTGGGTTCTCTAAGTACATGTCTTTTTCTTTTGACTTGGCCAATTGATCAAACATAAAATATTACCTCTCATAAAATCCTTTCTGCTCAGAATCACATCCTCTCTGGTCATGTCACATATGTCTTTTTCCTGCAAATCTTATGTTTTACTCTGTTTTGCCTATTACTGAAGATCTCGAATATTGCTTTTTACCAGTTGTTTTATCACTGTTCATGTCTTTGTTTACATAAAAGCAGTTGGTGTGAGAAGGCAATACCTTCATTTTATAGTGACCTCCATTTCTGACTCCAGTTTTGATAAAATTAATCCCCCTTTTTTTAGGGGATACTGTTATCTTTAAGGGTGGAGTGGCTACAGTTATTATTGAAGCAAATGATGATCCTAATGGAATTTTCTCCTTGGAACCTGTGGAGAAGCCAGTGGAAGAAGGCAAAAGTAACAATTTTTCGTAAGCAACTTCTAAATAATACTTTTTTGCTTTTTTGGAATAATCTTTTTTGGTACTTTATGGGTAGTACTTTGATCTAATCCCATACATGTTTGCATTCATAAACAAGTATTAAAGGAAAATAGCTTTACCAAATTTTTGATTAAATGATTTGTAAACATATTGAAGACATCAGACGCTATCAAGTATACCGTACATATTCAAAAGTGTACAGAAATTAATGTAAAGAAGTAAGACTACAACACTATTGTTTTGTTGTTTTCTCAGTAGACTTTAGATACTGAAGAATCTAGATGGCTGAGCAGAATATAACCTGGACTAATGGAGAATTAAACAAATCTCTTCAAAATGCAGCTAAATACAACTATATAGTTCTTTTTTTTTTTTCAACCTACTTTGATGCCTGCTCCTACAACCAACCTATGTTCCTGTATTCTTTGTGTTAGTTTGAATTTATTCTATCTGTTAATAACCAATGGATGTCTATACTGGAAGGCCAGATATGGCCGTCTTCTAGACTGAAAATACTCTTCCCTAGTCTGACCTCTGAAAGCATGTTCCCTCCAGACACTGTGATGTATTCAAGAAAGGAAAGGGTTAAGAAATTAATTTACTTGGCTTTTTACCTTGGTACATTCTGTAAAGTCAGCACGGGATTACAATTTGACAAAACAACTGATTTTTCGTCAAGAAACCTCCAGACAGAATATAAAGAGAAGACAGGCCACAATAAATGTGATATAGCTTGAAAAGTTAGGGAAGAGGCTCTTTTCACATTTGTTTAATTATCTTTTGTATCGTTTTGTTTTATTTTTTTGTTTTGTTTTAAGGCCTTGAGGCAGATGCCTATGACTGTGAATTAGGTCTTCAGGCTTATGTTACACATCTGAAAAATTAAATTCCTTGAGAAAATAGGATATCAAATATATTGTGTCTTTGGTTTTGTTGTGTTGCTCTTTGGTTTTTTTTTGTCCTTCATAATCTTATTTGCAGGATAAATTTTTTTGATTTGATGATATGAAGAACGGTGATTTGAACTAAACATGTTTATATACAGGTGCTTTACGGAAGTGCACAATACCAAGATCACCAAGATTTGAGGACCTTTCTCAGTCCTCATGGATGAAATATATTTACTAGGGAGCTGTCTATTCCATAACCTCACTGTTCTGGCTGTTCTGTAGTACATAACAGACGTGTCAGAGTAGCATATAACCTAACAGTTAAAGAACAGCTATGTCAGCCCTGAGCTTTAAAGGGACTAATTGGAGTTACTGCAACAGTGCTACACAGCTGAGGTAGAGCACCCTAGTTAATGGCAAAAAATGAAAAACCTTTGGAAGCAGAAACAACATCATTGTGTTGCTGTGCCTAGACTAGTTTTGCTGAACTAATTTTTCAGCCTGATATGCTGAAATGAAAATGAAAAATGAACTGCACTTGTATGTAAGTCACACTTTGTTAAGAAAAGCACTACACACTTCAGTTTTTGTTTTAATGCCTTTTGGAAATTGGTGAAATTATGTTATCAGATAGCTATACAAAAATGAAATCTTGGTTTTATTTACTACATTCTTAATCTGGAATAACTGTAGATTTCTGAAGGATGTAGAACATAACCCAAAATTTATACAGAAGTAAGAAAGAGTTTAAGGGGACTTGATGGTTAAAGGGAAAAATGTTCGCAGTTAAATGTAGATGATTCTCTTGCTTGTCCAAGGGTGGCCAGGCATATCAATTTTTAATGTTAACTTGCTGAACTATTATACATTCAATATACATTAATATAGCATACACTGTTATACATTCACTATTATTTAAATAATAGAAATGCATGGCAAGTGATGTATAGCTTAACAGTACTACTTTGTGTGGACCTACAAGGGTTACTTTTTTCTGAGGTACCTGTGGTATACCTGGAAGTAGAATTATACTGTGAAATTACAGGCCTTCGAAGTACATTGCATTATTTTTCATGGTTCTATGTATTGTCCATGGTCATGTAGAGCGTTGTATATTATTTTTCACAGTAAGGATGATTAGTGTAATCATGTTTTCCCTTGATAATGAATGCTGATGGATACCTGCCAGGACGTTCACCCTTTCTGTATCACTGAACAGGGTTTTGAGACACAGAGGACACTTTGGCAATGTCTCACTGACCTGGCAGCTGTTCGATAATGACTCTGCGCTGAGGCCAGGAGAAGAATTCTATGAAACTTACGGGACTGTGTACTTCATGGATGGTGAAGGATCAAAGCCAATAACACTCCGTGCTATTTCAGATAGAATCCCTGAATTCAATGAATTTTACATTTTAAAGTTGGTGAACGCTTCAGGTATTGTCTTCCATACCACCATTCCCTTCATATCTGTTAGAAAAGAGTTACATTTAATCAGTCAAAAAGAAACCAACCCTGGAAAGAGCTTTGCCTTGAATCATGTCTTGATATCCTATACTTTTCTAGTCAGATTTTAGGTTTTATTTTTCATCTAATCTTAGTTTAGTTGTATGAATACAGTTATTCAGTGCCTGAATTATAGTTATACATATTTTGGTGATCTGACCTTTAGAAAGAATGCCTCTTGGTGATTTCAGAGATGTAGATCTTCGGGTAGTTGAAGACAAAATAAAGCTATTAAAGGCTTTGCGTGTCTGCCGTTATTGATGTTGATTGGTTTGTTTGCTTTTTTCTAGAGGAGGTAAAATACTTATAGTTACCACTTCATATGACTTAAATTCCAACTGCTACAGGTCTGCTACTGAGCAGAGCTCCAAATCTCCTGAACTCATTCCACCTCAGTACTATTTATGGTATTCTTTGCCCAGATCCAACTGAAAATATGTGTTGACCTTTCCTGTAAGTGAACTCCATATGTGTGTACAGAAGATTTCCTAACTGTAATAGTAGATCACTGCGCACTTTGGAGGCTCTGCATTCATGCAGTGATCTTCATATGATGAATTCTTACTGTGCAGAAATAGGTAGTGTCATAGAATCATAGAATGGTTTGGGTTGGAAGGGACCTTCAGAGGCCATCTAGCCCAACCCCCCTGCCATGGGTAGGGACATCTGCAACTGGATCGGGTTGCTCAGAGCCCTGTCCAACCTGGCCTGGAAAGGTTCCAGGGATGGGACATCTACCACCTCTCTGGGCAACCAGTGCCAAGGTTTCACCACCCTAACTGTAAAAAATGTCTTCCTAATATCTAGTCTAAATCTACTCTTTTTTCACTTTAAAACCATTACCCCTTGTCCTATCACTAGTGGATAGGATAGATGACTAATGGCAGGACTTGGCAGCAATTTTAATACATAACTCGTTAGTGAATTTGCAAGGTATCTGCTTCTGTTTCAGAGGCAATGGGCCAAATTTTTCCATTTGTGTAAATCTTGGAGTAATATGAGAATTGAATCTGGCCCCATGTTTGTCAAATGAATCAAAGGTAACCTACCTCATTGACTAATTCAGAAAAGTTGGAGCTAATCTTGTTTTAGCTGAAAGACAAATGTGTGTTTTGCAGTTGAAAAATAGCATACTGCTTTGTTTTCTATGAAAATTGTTGCTATAGTGTTTTAAAAATAATACAGTTAAATTATGTTACTATTAAAACAGCGCATTTTCTAAGCATTCAGATGCTCTTTAAAGAAGATGTAAGCCTTTTTAGAAACATATTTTATTAAAAAACCTTAAAGTACTTACTAACCTTTTTCAGACTGTGTTGTCTGAAACCAGCCATTAACTTTTGCTCTGACTTCCTTTGTATAGGTGGGTCTCCTGGTCCTGGTGGTCAGCTATCTGAAACAAGCCTTGGCATAACCGTGATGATCCCATTCAATGATGACCCTTTTGGAGTCTTTGTTATAGATCCGGAGAGCCAGGACAGAGAGATAGTGGAAGATGTTCTTTCTGAAGATGATCTTTCCTATATTACAGACTTCATGATCTGGAGACAGCAAGGCACCTTTGGTGTTGTTCGTTTAGGTTGGGAAATACTGTCTAGTACATTCCAGGATGGACTACCATCGATGGTAGACTTCTTGTTGCTGGGATCATTTCCAAGTTCAGTACAATCCCAGCCTCACATGAGGCGTCGTCACAGTGGAACAGACGCTTTGTATTTCAGTGGAAAAGAGGATGCGTTTGGGATTATTGGTCCGGAATACTCATACAAAGGAAATACTGCAGTAACCAATTTCACATTTTCAGCATGGTTAATTCCTAACGTCAGTACTGATGGTTATATAGTGGAAAAGGATGACAGTAATGGGACCTTATATTACGGCGTGAAAATCCAAATAAATGATTCTCATGTTACTGTAGTGCTTCATTATACAGCATTAGGATCCAATATGACATACATGGCTAAAGCAGCAGTCTTGAGATATCTGGATGAAAATACTTGGCTTCACCTTCTGATTACTCTGGATGAAAGTATAATTGAGTTTTACTTGGATGGAAATCCAGTTCTGGGAGGAATGAAGAGCCTGAAAGGAGAAGCAATTGCTGATGGTGAGCCAATAGCCTGCATTATTTTTTTCTATATGTGAAGTTCTGCATTCTCTAATGTATAGAAGAGTCTAGTTCCTTGACAGGTGTATACAAGATACTGGAATTATTACTTCTAATTAATTAAAAAGAATGGATTAAAAACTCTGAGGATTCTCAAAAAGCATATGGAAATCAGAGCTGGGAAGTTCCAAAAAATTCAGAACAGTAATAGAGCTTGGATTGCAATAATTTGAAAATAAATTAATAATTTATAACTATATTTATAAATGTATGCTTATCTTGTATACATACAGTTATATATGTTTGCAGTTAATAATTTCCATAAGATTTACAGCACTGTAGCTGAGAAAGGACTTTTTTGCTCTCAAGTTCTGAAACATAACACAGTAATTATTCTGTTTCTAGCTGTTTATTATATTACAACAAAGCCAATATCTTGTAAGCAATAGATTTTTTCAGGGTGTAGATTTACTTAAGTATGTATTTGCAGGGTATATTAAAATTATACCTAGAAGTTCAGTAGTGTTCCAAGGAACATTAGCGTGTGTGCTTCAGTTTATCTAACTGGATAGTCACAGATGTGATTTTAGTTATAGGTAACCGTTGTGGACGTTCAATCTGAACTAGCACAGCATGACCAGAGAAGTATCAGAACAATTCCTGTATGAAATCAGATATTATGTGGTTGGAATACATTTTTATTTACTCTTTCTTCTGCCATTTCCCACATGCATTTTTTTTCTTGGCTATGAAGTCCATCCTTTTTCCTTTCTTCCGTCTGCCTTCAGTTTCACAGGTTTTCTTTGGTGGGGATAGGCAGTGAATGATTATCAAATTCTTGAATACAGTTTCCTTTTCTGTAATCAAAGAAGGAGAATTTAAAAAGATACATTGATGTTAAATGCATTTACATCTATATGCATATATGTAGACAAACATAGAGTGAGAATAGATAGGAGACTTCATTAATTGTATAGTGTAATGTTTTATTTCTGCCTGCAAATTTCCAGTGGTTGAAGTCTGAGAAATAAATTTGCCCTCTGTAACAAAGTAGTGCCTCTGCGATTAACAATTTCCTTTAGAATTGCAGTGCTGTAGCTCAGAAAGGATGTTTTCCCCCTCAGCTTCTAAAACAAAGATGTGTGAAATGCAGTAATGCTGTTGTTGCTAGAAGGGTATGTCTGAGTTGTTGTAAATTTTCTACATTAGCGGAGATGGCATATGTTCTGTCTGGAGATACTACAAGCGTAAGGTAAGGCTTCAATCTGTCTCCATTTATTGTTGGATACTACACAGTGATGAGCATAGTACCCCAGTTTTTCTCAACATCCCTCCACTTTGTGCCCTGGGATCATTACCAGTTGCTGTGGTTTCTTGTCTCTAGAACTGACAGTCAGTGTCATGTGTATGCCAAGGGCACAGTTTGTTCCAAAACCAGGAGACAGCTGGAAAGAAGAGAGTGTTTTAGCACGATAGGAATGCGTATGAGCTACCAGCTTCATATATTTGTGAAAAAGGCACTGTGATCCTGTGATTTGCGAAGTAGGATAATTGTTTGGAGACAGAGAAATATTAATGCTGTTATAAAAAGTGTTTGGAATTTGCTGTACATTTCTAAAGTCCGTATTCCCATGGCATTAGGGGAAAAGAAGGGCTGATACAGTGATGATGAGTATCATCAGAATGGGTCCGCTGTCCTAGCAGAGAGAGACGAGATGGGGTCTGCCAGGAAAAAGGAAATCTGAGAGTGGTTGCAGTTGTGCTGTGCAAATCTGTAGTGGACAGAGAGAAATTTCCAAGCCTCATTAAAATAAGAGATGGTGACAATGTGCTGGTAGAACTAGTAGGATGAAAAACCTGAACAGTTTAGGATGGAATTGTTTGACCTGTGATGATCTACCTGTAACACTGAGATGAGGCCTGGGGAACCTCCTGATTTTGCATTTCAAGATTAGTATGATTCCTAATCTAGGGATAATAAACAGTTTACCATTGATTTTTAACAGTTACAGCTATTCAGCTGCAGATTTATTACTTTGAAGAAATACAATAACATGAGAAAAATGACAATTTCCTTCTCAGGTCCAGGCATAGTGAGAATTGGAGCAGGAATCAACGGCAGCAGTAGGTACACAGGCCTAATGCAGGATGTAAGGCTTTACGAGCGTAAATTGACACGGGCAGAGATCTATGAACTCCATGCAACACCTGCGAAGAGCGATGTCCACCCTGTCTCTGGGTACTTGGAGTATCGGCAAGGAGAGACCAATAAATCATTCATTGTGTCTGCAAAAGATGACAAAGAGGAAGAAGGAGAGGAGTTATTCATCCTAAAGCTAATTTCTGTGCGTGGCGGAGCTCGAATTTCACAAGAAAATACCACAGCAAGATTAAGAATACAGAAAAGTGATAATGCTAATGGTTTATTTGGCTTCACTGGAGCGTGTATTCCTGAGGTAAGGTGTTCATAAGAAAAATTATGGGTGATGTTTTGGACACAGACAAATTAATGGCAAGACCAATTGACCTGCGCAGGGCCTTGATTTCACATTGTTAGTTTTTGTAGTTAATCAATGTTTTCTAGAATTTGGAAATGTGTAAGTTCTGTTGATACAGCCTCAGTCTTACTAGCATTTACAATATAATTTTTATGAATCCCCCAATATTACTTTTGTTAAGAAAATTGATTTTATTACATAAACTGAAGAGTAAGGCTTAAATTTTTCTAGAAGAACATTTTTTTTCTTTACTTCTGTCACATCTGAGACTGGGATATAAATTAAAATAGAAGATCTGATTTTTTTTTTTTTTGAGAATGGATTATTACAAAGATTTTAATTTTATTCTTCTGTGTTCTGTGATTGGAAGAATTTTACTACAGGTCATGCAAGGACGAGGTGTGATGTGGTTTTCCACAATCATTTGCTGTCAGAACTTATTAGGTATAAATTGCATATGTTTTGTGTGAATGTGGTTCATACTGGCAGTCAGTTGCTTTTTTTTTTTTTGAACGTTAAATTGTTCTTTGGTGGTAGTCACCATATACGCAATATATAAACTTGCTACTTTTTGGGGGTGTGTAGAAATAAACATAATTCATTTTTACTTCTTTAATCAATTATGAAGAAGACATGATATCTGTTTCTATTGGTATTGTAGTATTTTGGAAAACAGATTTCAGAATACTTTCTAGTTTGGGAACTGTCATGCCCTTTTAATTACATTCTTTCTAACCAAAGTTCTTATGATGTGCTTGAAAGTAACCATCTTACCTGAGCAACACTGGTTTTCAATTTGGTTCAGTTTGCTTTCTATGTGCCTACCATATGCTACGATAATAGATTCCTTCAGTTTCAAATGCCACTGATAATACTGTGATGCCACAGATCATCAACCAACTGTGAAGCAAAATTAAAAATTTATATGGCATGTTAATTGTTTTGCACTTATCTTACGTCTGTTTCACCAGGGAAGTATTAGATCTCTCAGTGATGATGCAGATACACAGCATTTTTTATCAGTAGTTTAATTGCTATATGTCAACTAGGTAGCTGAAGGCACATGGATTATCTCCATTGTGTTATACAGCAGCTCTGGAATTTATCTGATGTTTAAGATAGCTTTAGCTTTTCTGGCAATTTTCAAATAAAATGTTCTTCTATAATAAAAAATTATCATCAAATATATGGTCACTATCAATACCTTCTTTGTTCCAAATGTGTGAAATTGTTACTGCTGAAGTCATGTTCTTAGTGAAGACAGAACTGTAAAGAGGACTGTGGCAGAATAAAATTTTCAGATTTTTTACTGAATGATGATAGCATAATTTAGTTTGATTGTATCCGGGTTTTTTCCCCCCCGTAGTATTTCTAGCTGGGGAAAGAGGAAATCCAAATTGTTTTATAAATTATTGCTAATAAAAATTAAAATAATTGACATTAATGTAAAACAATAGTTTCAGTTGCTTTTGGCACGTGGATTTGAAGCATATTGATTCCATCTTTGACATGTAGTTTGGGGGAAGAGATTGTGTCCAAAGCAATCAACAGGGTACAGTTATTGGCTTAGCTTTGTAGTCCTCAGGGAGATACTAGAAGCTGTTGCAAATTCCACTAAGATTGTTCTGATCTGCATCTGTCCTGCAGGTGACATGACAGCCAGTTTGTACCTGAACATTTGACTAGCGTTAGAGAATTCCATACTTTGTGTTTATTACCTTGATTTACTTTGGCAATAGCAAACATTTCAATTTCTTGCTTTCTTCCAGACTGCTGATGAGGGTTCTACTGTATCCTGTGTCGTGGAGCGTACAAGGGGAGCCCTAGACTATGTCTATGTAAATTACATTATCTCACAGGTTGATTCCACTGGCATTAATTACTCTGTTACCGATTTTTCTAACAGCAGTGGCACTATCACATTCCTTCCTTGGCAGAGATCAGAGGTAAACCCTACCTTCCTATTAACTATTCATCCTGTCCTTTGCAACCCTGCTGGAAAATACCTTCTGAGGATGCTTGACTGGTTTCCATAATAGAGTGTTTCCTTCACGTGGCTTTCATGATTTTTTGCAGGGTTTTTTTCACCCCTGACAACTATCAAGTGATAAAAGA